AGGTGACGTCAGCGATTGTCTGGTGGAACAAAAGGCCTTGCTTTGTCACCCGTGGATCTCCCTGTCTGGAAGGGGAGGCGTTCCTGAGATGCTCATGGCTGATAACACCGCGGTGTGATTCATGGGCTTTGAAATAGGATCATTGCACTTTTAAAAAATTTTGGTTTTGCCCTGGCCAGCGTGGCTCGGTGGTTGGAGCGTTGGCCTACATACCAAAGGCTCTCGGGTTCGATTCCTGGTCAAGGGCACGTGCCTGGGTTGCAGGTTCGATGCCCAGCCCCGCTTTGGGCACCTGCAGGAGGCAACCAATGGATCTCTCTCTCTCTCCCCCTCCCTCTCTTCCACTCTCTAAAAATCAATGGAAAAAATACCCTCAGGTGAGCATTCACAACAACAAAAAAAGCTCTTTTTTCATTTTTGACCTCTGGTCGTTGTGATTTCTGCACAGGGCTCAAGGTCAAGGCGTCCACGGGGCCGCAGACCTCTGCTCCGCCCTTCAGGTCACCACTGAGGGCGGGAGTGCTTCCTCCTAAGGACGCCCTGGGTCCTTGCTTACGTTAGTTTGCACTGCCCGGCCTTGGTCCGACCCTTGCTTCTGTCCGGTGCAAAGACCAAGTTGGTACCTGGCAGGACCCACGTCCTTCCCACCTTGTTCGCAGGCAGGAGAAGTTTGCGAAACCAGCCTCCCAGATGTACGCGCCTGAACCGTAAGGTCCCTCCCCTGCGTGCAGGCCGCCGCCTCTGGGCCCGGGTGCCTACAGGATGTGGTTCAGATTCAAGGTCAAGTTCCCAGTCTCCCCTTCTGCCCTTTTCCTCCCCCCGACGCTCCGGCGAGAGCTTCGCTCCCTCCCAGGCTGGCATTCCTCAGGCCCGGCTTCCTGTCTCCACCCATCTTCACATCCAGAGCCTCTTCGGAAAGTCTCCCCATCTGCGCGGCTGTTTGTTTTTGTGTTTTTTAAAAAATATGTCTTTATTGATTTCAGGGAGAGGGGGAGAGGGAGAGAAACATCAATGATGAGAGTCATTGATCGGCTGCCTCCTGCACGCCCCCGACTGGGGATCGAGCCCGAAACCCGGGCCTGCGCCGTGACCGGGAATCGAATCCCGATCTCCTGGATCCCAGGTCGACGCCCAACCGCAGAGCCACGCCGGCCTGGCTCTCTCTCGTGTTTCTAGCCACTAAGCCTTTTCATGTTCACCCCGAGACGGAGGGGAGCATCGGCGCCCACACTCTCGCTGCTCCGGGGCCACGTGCGCCTGGTCCCCACGGGAACAGAGGTGCTTTTGCATTTGTGGGTCTTCATTTTCTGTTGTTGTTCATCTTCGCCTGATTTTTCACATTGATTTTTAGAGAGAGCGGAAAGGCGGGGGGAGAGGGAGCATGAGAGAGAAACGGCAATGTGAGAGAGAGAGACATGGATTGGTTGCCTCCCGAACATGCCCCGGGCTGGGGATCGAACCTGCAACCCAGGTACCTGCCCTGGACCGGGAATTGGACCCACGACCCTTCGGTGCGCAGGCCGATGCTTTAACCACTGAGCCAAACGGGCCCCGAGGAAATTTATTTTATTTATTTTTTGTTTTTTGTGTGTGTTTTTTAAAATATATCTTTATTGATTTCAGAGAGAGGAAAGGAGACGGAGAGAGAGAGACAGAAACATCAATGATGAGAGAGTCATTGGTCGAGCCCACAACCCGGGCATGTGCCCCGACCGGGAATCGAACCCTGATCGCCTCGATCCTAGGTCGACGTTCAACCGCTGAGCCACGCCCGGCCGGGCAAATTTATTTATTTTAAATTTTATTGTTGAGAGTATTACAGATGACCCCCTTTTCCCCCCACGGCCCCCCTCCACCCAGTTCCCACCCCGAGAACCTGCGTCTTAAGCACGCCCTGGGTGACCTGGGTGCGCGTTCGAGGTGCTGTCCGAAGCCTGTGCCTGCCTCCAGGTAGGAACCAGCTCTCGAGGCCCACCTTCTCCCTGCGCCCTGCACTGTGGGCCAGCCCCCGCCCCACCCGACCCCGCTCGGCGTGGGGCCCAGGGGCCCGTCTTTGCTGGCCTCCTGTCTGTGGGTCTGTCTTCTGTGTAGGTCGCCTCCCTTGGTCCCCCCGCCTTCCACTGTTTCACTACCCTCTGCCGGGGGCCACTCCATGTGTGGGGCACCTTTCCCCGGGCACCTCCTCCCGCAGCCAGCTGCCCCCCGGACCTGCCCCCCGCACGGCCCCTCGGCCTCTCACGCGGGCCGTGCGGACCTCGGGCCCTGCGCCGCGTGGAACCGGCGCCTTGGCTGTTACCTGTGGCCGAGGGTGTCATCTGGGGCAGGTGGGAACTTACTCACAGCCCGTCTGTTACTGTGTCGGGATGAAACCGTCCAGACATGTGGAGCAGCTGTTCACGGGACGAACTGCTTCAGAAGTTTGTGAGGAGTGGGCTTTAGCTTTGCGTGCGGAGTGGACGTGCAGCGAGTGATTGCTTCGTCCCCCCCAGAGGTCAGCTGTCCTCCGACCCAGGCGGGCATTTGGGGAACCAGCGAGGCGTTGTCAGGGCTCCGTCCGCAGCTCCGCCACTGCCCAGGGAGGGGCCGCCCGCTCGCGGCCGGTGCGGACTTGGCCGAATCCTTGGGTTTGCAGTACTTCTTGGGCTCGCCGGGGTGTACCGTCGAGGGGCAGTGACTTCCAAATCGTACAGTAGTCTGTGCGTGACCATGCGTTACGCTCACGTTTCCCTGGCAGATTGCAAGGATAATGGCTTTTCGGTCCAAAACAGGAGTCGGCCAACGTTTTTGGTCAGGAGCCAAGCGGTAAATATGTCTGGCTTTGTGGGTTCAGCTTCTCCTTTCTGCCCCGTGGCCGTATGTAGACAGGGGCGTGGTCGTAATCCAATACAGTTTTATTTAAACTCCCTCCTCCCTCCAAAAAAGAAGGCGGCTGGCTGGATTTGGCTCCTGGGCCACGGCTGGGCAGGTTGTAGTGCACAACACAGACGCGGTTCGTTCGTACGGAATTCGATTTTTCTCTGATGTGTTAATCGTCACCCAAGGATATTTTTTCCATTGTTTTTTTTTTTTTTTTTTTTTTTTTTTTTTTTTTTAGGGGGGGGGGGGGGGGGGGGGGGGGGG